TAACAACACCATGAAGACGTGCATAGACCTGGTAAGACATAACATGGGGACTACATGCAGTTGTATCAAGAAGCTGCAGATTAAATAGCCCTTTCAAGTACTCAGTATTGCATATATTTCATCTGTACTCCAGGTTCCTTTCACTAAACCAAAGTAAGAATATAATAACAGTCCATGGTTTCTTGTGATATTCTAAGCTGCCCACACCAGATTAACTCTGGTTACTTCCCTTCTCAATATAGAAACAGAGAAGCAGCTGATAAACACAGTCATTTCCACATCAAATCATTATTTTATTACATGACTATTGGTAATAATGCAAAGTAATTTAAGAAAGTGGACTCTCTTACACTTTCACATAATTATGTATTTGTTTTGGATTGGAAGAGAAATATTCTAAGCTGTAAAATGCTGTTAACTTGAACAGCAGACCTGTATTAGTGGCTTTAGCATAAATTAATCATTGTGTCCACATCCATACAAGATAAATAGAATACAAAAGAATATTATCTCCATGTACTGCATTTAACACAATAAAAATGTACTGTACAGCAGATAAAAAAAAAGCAGGAATATTTGACAACTCTGAAAACATGAATAAGAACATATTTTAAGCTTGAATTGTAAACTCAATGGCATGAATGATACTTGAGGTTTTCAAGATGGTGAAGATTCATATTGCGATCTGCTGGCTCATGACACCATGTTGCTTAATAGGCTGGTACAAGGGGAATGAACTGCCCCCATCGTCCTGAAATACTGGTATATATTTAACAGACTATACATGCTACAAACATTTATGAAGAATATAAAGATTCTTTCTCATGAAGTTGGAAGCAGTATGTCCACTTGAAACGTTAGTACTGACCTACCAGACTACACAGTGTCATAACTCAGCATACCAGCATATGGATCAGCATCATTTCTCTGTGATATTATAAAACATGACATAAACATACATCAAAACATAACATGAAGTTATTCTGCTGCAATTATTATTGTAATGTCTAAACATGTTAATCTGTTTCATTATGCTTGGTCCCAACTTATAACATATAAACATGTTTAAGGTGAGTAGATAAAAATAATGGTTACCAATATGTAAAAGAATTGAACTACCACTCAGTCACTGGAAACACACCATCATCTCTGCATTCATGATCAAGTACATATTACTATTATTCTTAGTTTTAAAAATCTACTTTTATATAGTTAATATATGTATTTCTAATTAACTGCTGGTGTATAACTTTCATAAGCTATGAAGTGATCACGTACTGACGTATGTAAGACACAAAACTAAATGTATTCTGTCTCGGCTTACTGAGTCATAGAGCTGCATGATGAGACAAATCATGTTTCAGACGAACACACCCACATCCTGTACAGAATTTATGTTCTGCAATACTGTAACTTGGTATTAAGGAACACATGGTTCACTAATATGAAGACAAGGAAAGAGACTGACAAAATGTCACAAAGGTATGGCAGATCTCACACTTTCACATGGAAGAGAAACTCTGACTTAGAAGAACAAACATGACTGATATTTTGCATTTGCTGTGCTACAGGTGTAGCATTATTTTCCTGATGGTCCACCAATTCACTTTTTACTTAAGGAGACAGTCTTCACAAATTAATGAAATTTAATCATAAACCTTGCAGCCATTTTTGGGAAAATCACATTTTGTGCCGAAGCCCCCTGTGAAGGACTGAAATTTTTGGAGCTAGAACGTTCATATTTACCAGGCACTGACCTATGATAAAATAAATTCTTAAATACTAAATGCAAATAAAATCCTTCCAGATATTCAGGTGCTAATGAAGTGCAAATAAGTAATAACAAACAGAATTCCAAAAGCAACTTTTCCTAGAGATCAAACTTTTTCATGATCACAATACTTTCTAGCATAATGGATAAGGTAAAATTAAGATATATAAAAAAATCTAAATATTGTATCAATGAACAGATGAAAAGAGAGTAGAATAATTAACATTTCTGAACAGGACAGCCAATCTTACAAAACTTATTTTTCAATACAGATCAANTATATTTTTTCTTCTACCCTGAAGATGGAGGCGATACGTTCCTCCGAAACGTCGGTTAACACCACATATACACGGTGCCAAATCCCAGAAGACTGCTTTCTTCATAGTCACCGCCATGAAAGCCTCAAATCGTACATGTTCAGTATATAATTCAACTGTTAAGAAATTTCATTAGTGTGGAGTCCAAAGGTTCATTACCATGGTCACAAAAACCGATATGAGAAAGTTCAACTCAATTCACATCATCATAACTTACTTCCTTAAGGTATATTGTAATGGTACTGTCTGCCTGCTTCAACCTCCCATGTAGCTTCTTCTAAAAAAATTTAAAATGTAAAGCAGTATCTGTATATTAGCTGTTTGTGCTTTCTACATGCTTACCTCATTTCAGACTTCGTGAGTTTGTCTAGAATTATTGGGTGCAGAATTTTGTTTTACATCCCTTCAAACAGTATTCTTATGAGGAGCCCTGTAGAACTATGTATTAAACACACTACCAGATACTTTGCTTTTGGGGGAAAAAAGAAACCCTAAACTGGCATTAGTGTCCATTCATGCATTTGTTCTTCTCTTAATTTCACTCTTCCATTTGAAACTGTCTCAATTTTGTTATATGGTTTAAGGATTAATCAGCAACTGTTCTATTTTTACCTTGTCCTGTATCCAGTTACTTGCTCTATGTTTATTACTGTATCCAGTGTTTTTGTACAGACATCTGTTGTTACCTTTCTTCCAACAAAGCAACACCTGCACACATTAGCAGTCTGCAGTCTGCAAACTGCCCACATGTTACATCTGCATATGAAGAATAACCAACTCCTGTCACATATGGGGAAAATGTAATGAGCCATTGCTATAATATGGGGAAAACCTAAGTTATCTTCTGTCTTTGTCAAGAAGTAGCTGTTTCTAGTACATGGGGAAACAAATTATGATAAAATATATAAAAGGAATATGGGAGAAAGGAGATAAGGGAGGAGGAGGAAGAAAGGAAGAGAGAAATGAAAGGGGAAGCAAGAGAGGAAGGGGAGATAACTGATGATGGGATGTACAAATACATGAAACAGGAAAGCAACATAGAAGAATGAGGGAATGAGCTGAAGATGCAAAAAGGATAAAGGAAGGGAAGAAAGAAATGATCTTCCCTGTCACCTTTGACTCTGTGGCCTGAAGTCCGCAAGCGAACTATACTGACCGAGCGACTGCCGCTTGTCAGCAAAGTTAGTGACAGATTGTTAAATAGTTGCTAGTTGTTAAATAACATCTGTCAACAGAGAAAGCTTCACTAACAATACATCTAGTGTCAGAGTTTGTTCTCGGTCAGTGACGTTGACAGAGGAACTTACATTATGTAATCATAATACCAAAGTTGAGCTGGAAATATGTATATTATTAAATATAGGAATGGGAGTGTTCTTCCGTGCACACACGTAACGGTTTCAGTTTGTGCAGCTCAGTACTAACTGTTCTAATTACTTACAATTCTATATATATCTCTCAAACTACAAATACTGTACATTAGAATTAGAACGCCGCACAAAAACAGCCTCGAGACAAGGTTGGACAGTGGAGACAAGAGTGAAAATAGTTCAACTATTATAGATACACACTATTTACAGATGTTTTAGGCCATTTCCAAAGTCAATATCGTCTTATAATAATAATAACATATGTATGTATAGGAAGTATTTATACAAAAGATGATATTATTGAACTATTGCATATATGAAGAGTCCTACATATAACCTCAATACCCAATTAATTAATACACTGTAGTTTGTTTACATTAAAGAGTATTTAATAAATAACAGCAAATTCCACATTCATAAAGCATTGCGATTAAAAAGTTTGTGTTGATTTCTCTATGTAAATGTAGAGTTCTAACAACTGCTATACACTATTTAATATGAATCTTGTTTCTACTGACACTAAAGAGAGCAGCACATGAGGCCAATGAACTATTTTCCTTGATAAAATACTCCTGGCAGCTGTGCCTTATGTGGACTGTTCCGTACGAACTTAGATGCTCATCATGTCCACAAGCTAACACCACGAGGGCAAGATAATCTATATCAAACTAGGATTGCCACAGGGAAGCCTGCTGCAAACATGTCAGCCATTTTCACCTCACATTACATACCAAGCAGAGGTTCCCAGACTCATGGTCCACAGATCACAGGTGGTCCACAAAAAAATTTAAGAAGTCTGCCTCTATTTTCAAGGTTAAAATGACATCAACCCTGATGACAGAGGAAGTCCATTCCTGTCTTTCCAGCCCATTTAACGTAAAATACTTTCTTAGAGTTCTCAACACCAATATGAACAGCTCCTACCATCTGTGGAATACACAGAGGTATTAACTCCATGTCCCACCATTCTGGTCCCTTCAATTTCATCATTACAGGCAACAACAACCTCGAACAAGTCATGGTGCACTGTGGACGCCACAGAACTGAAAAGGGAAAATACCAGTGGCAGTTAATTCCCAACCTATCAGAGGAATCTGCATCCTCATCTTCAGGGTATCCTTTCTTCATGAGCCATGAAGGTGTATGGGGGAGTGGATGTATAGATCCACATTTTCCTAACCTTGGCACTAGCTGGAGGTGGGTGGTCACCTTCACGCCCTGGATGCTTTACCCCCCCCCCTCCGAGGAAATAGCCCCCCGTACCCACTGGATAGGAGATTGGGTGGACCCCAGAGCCAGTTTTGACAATGCCAAGAAAAGAGAATTCTTGACCAGTCTGAGTGAAGTATAAGTAAGTGAAGTATGAAAAACAGTTACTACATCACATTTATTTGCTTCTTTCTGTGGTGAAATGGGAAGCAATCATGAAAATCTACTCATACACACAGGAAACATCCTGAGCTGATTTTTTTAACTCTGGTCAGAAATCATGCTGGTTGATAATACTGGAGTATTTGGCTTTGTGATGCTCAACAGTGTGGATCTAAATTTATGAGGAATTACAATTACAATCCTTTCTGCTTAATGATAAAATTTCTGCACTCACTTACAAGCTGGATATGTGGGAATAAAACTTATGAATCAGGAATTACAACTGTTTGCAAACATTTCAGCCATTCGTCATAGGAAACGATATATCATCTCATGATGTAATCAACATTCTTTGCAGCCACCCTAAGCATATCAAAGAAAAGTGAAAATGTACTGTAACTGAATATTTTCTAAAGGTCTCTGTGAATTCAAGATCCATTTGTTGATGATTATGACCTATACATACTCCTACAAATATGCAAGACACTTACTTATAAACTTTTTGTCTATTTGTAAGGAACATCCTTTGCTATGTGATGAAGCAGTGAAACAAGATTTTCTTCTCCAGTTCCCATTAAAAACAAGTATCACAACAGACTTGATGTTTCTTCAAGCTTGAGACTGAAGTTTACGAATATTAAACCATATATTCATCATCTCATAAAAAGTAAATAAGCTCACCCATCACACTGAATGCATGTTGAGCTGATATTTATTATTTAATCACAAATGAACATGTAATTTCATGGTAAAATCTTTATATTATGTTAATTTTATAAGTCACAGGGGCGTAAATGTTGACTAAATTTCACTTCCATTCCATTCAAAATTCTTAAATAATATGTTATTTAATTTTAAGGCAGTCCATTGAAGAAAATCCATACAGGAAGTGATCAGTAGTCCATAAATTTTGGGAACCTCTGAAGTAATGCAGACATCCTCACTGTCCCTTTTAATTTTAAATTGATCTCCATCAATAGTTACGAATAATAAGTGTTTTTAAACAATTTACATTCCTCCAAAAAACTCTCCAGTGCACACTGTCCAGTTATCCTTTCTCTGGCTCTAAAACCTAGATGATGGGAGGCAGGGGAATGGTGGTAGTTAAGCTAAGTTACTGTGATCAGTAATGTGGAAGTAGGGGGTACTACACTGTCAACTGCAAAACATTTTACATTTCATCACATGTTTTGTGGAAATGAACTAATGTATTCATTAAGCTGTTACAAATTTATTTACATAATGAACCTGTACCAGGAGAACCGGAACAGCTACCTGAAGAATTGTATGGCATCACGGTTAGTTACTTTTCCAGAGTGAGTAACATAATCAACGCTTCAGACAGAATCACATCTCCCTCTCTGTCTCACTTGCATGACACATACCTCATAGGGTTGGAGTTACAGTGATATTCTGTTTAATGCAAGTTAATATATAACATGTTTCATTTGATTCACAGAAAACAGTCATGCACAGGAAATTCAGTGAATGGTATACAAATGATCACTTTAACTAAGTTTTCCAAGAGGACATCAGTGAGTGATAAAATGAAATCTCACGGCGAACAATTACTTGGAATATTAGCACAGGTCATCAGTAACATAAATATATATGAGGGTCATCCAGAAAGTAAAGACAGTTAGCACATGTGAGCTACTTTCTGACTTTGCTGGGGACATTATTTTCCATCCTCCCTATAGTCCAGACATGGCGCCAAGTGATTTGCCCTCGTTCACACACTTGAAGCAGTTTTTCAGTGGCATGCATATAGGTAGAGATGAAGAAGTGAAGAAGACCGTTAAAAACTGGTTCAGTGGACTTGCAGCAGATTTCTGCGATGCAGACATACTCGTACAGAAACTCATTACATGATACAATTGCCTTAATGGGGATTATGTAGAAAAATGACCTAAGGTCTGTAGTAGTGATGCAAAACATAACTCTTTACTTTTATTCATTTATTTCCTTTAATCGCCAAACGGTATTTATTTTCTGGACAATCTATAGAACTACACATGAGTCCTGAGGCTCTTATGACAGTGAATATTAAGGCTATGGTCTTCAGAGACGTAACACTATACAGACTGGTACACTTGTACCAAATGGCCTGGGGGAGCCTGCTGTCCATCATGGAGGTAAGGACACCAGGCTTGTCTGAAACTGTACATTCTACACAGCATCACATTCCAAAAGACTATAATCTTAATATCCAGGGAGTCCTGCAAGCCATAAATCTATATATCAATAAACAAGTATCCACAGAAAAAAGAAAGATGCTTATTTCCCACTCTGTCCACCCACAATTTAATAATATGAAGTACAGGTTTCCTAAACAAGCATTCTTCATGAAACTATCATAACTGTTGACAAATACTTCTATTAGCAGATTGACCTGTACCAATCACCTGTGCACTCCCACTCCCATGCAGCACCATTACACTTTAATGTATGCAGAGATAATGTGCACAGAATAACACATGTACAACATGGCACTACTGAATCCCAACTCAAGTTCCAGAAAACTTGTTTAAAAAAATACCTACAAGGTGTGGTCCAGCTGGATTTTATTCTAAAATGCAATATTTCAAAACATGGCAGATAACTGAATCTTACTTCTGCATCACATGTGAGTTCATCTCAGTGTAATTCAATGGCGAAGACATCATAAATTCCATCGAGAATGGAATACTTCAATCCCCTACATGTCATTAGGGCATATAAGTTCATATGAACCTCTATGTGCTGCGTTCTATAGTTTCTGATGTAACAGTCTGGCACATCTAAATAAAGTTCTGATGTGTTGGAAAGGAAGTAAAACCTATGTCAAGAAGTAAATACCAATCTAAGACGATACACTGTTCATTCCTACTAAAAATATGATTAAATACAAATGTATGCCCTCGTTCTGAACAGGAAAACTCTGATAATATATCTGAGAAAATACATTTTGGAAGGAAAATAAGACATCAGAAATCCTGACTAAGAAAGTAGACAGTATAGAGTAATGACTGTATTCATTCTGGAGCATAGCCTATATTAGCATACAAGTTTCTTTATCTATGGAACATTGCTACTGTTATTTAAATATGAACACTTTCAGAGCAGTTTATGTATCATGTACATCCCTTTTGCAAAGTCCTATGCACTTTAAATGCATATATGTGGCACTGGTACCAACACATTCCACTGTCAACAACTACAATGTGGTACTGGCACCAACAGGTTCCAGCAGCAACAGAACGCATAATGTGGCACTGGCACCTATATGTTCCAGTACCAGCATACATACAATATGGCCCTGGCACTCATATGTTTCAGCAACAACACAAACATACAGTGTGGCACTGGCACCAACAGGTTCCAGCACCAACAGAATCATACAATGTGGCACTGGCACCAATAGGTTCCAGCATCAACAGAACCCGTAATATGGCGCTGGCACACATGTTCCAGCACCAACAGAATCATCCAATGTGGCACTGGCACCAACAGGTTCCAGCACCAATATAATCTTACAATGTGGTGCTGGCACCCAAACGTTCCAGTGTCAACAAAATACATATAAATCACAGCGTCTGATGTCTCAGAGAAAGGACAGATAGGCTACTGGTGAAGAGAGAATTAAGCATATTCATCATGTCAATTGGGAGGCACAAAGTTTAACAAAATAACAAGAAAATACAGATACCTTTTAAGATTGGTGAAAGTCTTTATGTTTCCATGAAAATGTGGATAATGAGGACACTTAATTGGCTACACGATCAATTACACCACCTAAAGCAGAGGGGCAACAGACAGTACACAAGTTCATCACCTCAAATATCACTCTCCTGTCTTCCAGCAGCAGGAAACCACAGTCTTCAAACTTCCGCAGTCAAAGCACCAGTGATTACTGTCAGGTGTCTCTTTTCATACCACGGTGTGAACAACGTCTTAACTCAAGTAAAAATACTAACAGCTTATCTGTTACCATAGTAATACACTTGAACACAGGTAGTGTGTTCTCCAAAATCAGTCTAATTGAACAAATCATCATCTTGCTACTGATCTTCATTCTCTTTGTCCTACACCATCATGCTGTATTAGAAGAAAAGCAAAGTTACAACACTATTAAACTTGCAACTCTCGTGGTGGTGAATATTAAGTTTACAGTCTTCTGGCATGTGGTGCCATACACTTTAGTACAAAGTTCTCAATGATTTGGAAGAACATCAGTTCCTTGAGCTTCTGGGTATAAGAAACACTTGTTTTACTGCAACAGGTTCCCAGGACATGTTCGTACCCATCTAACAAAAAATGGCACAACATGCCAGAAGGACATAGTGTTATTGCAACAGCATGTTCAGAATATCTGACCCCACTGACTTAAATATGATAAACTTGAACTATGGCATACAGCCTTTAGCACACTGATACAAATGCATAGTATCACCATGATACTAGCAGAAGTAAATCCTTACAAGATACAATGTCTATATTGGACTACTATGTGCTGAAGCAGGAGCATAATATCATGTAATGGCTACCTTTAGGCCACTGCATAATGCAAAACAGAAATAAGTACCATGAATGGTTTACACAGCAACTGTACGATTCAGCAATATTAACCTAATGCAATCTGCTGACAATATTCTGATACACGTAATCATGTCCAACGCGCAGAACCATAACATTACATTTTGCCAGTTTGATTTTAAATGCTGTTTTCCTAAACACCAACTGGGTGACCATCATCTGTACCATGTTCTAGACAAAACAGAATATTATATTTTTCCCCACCGGCAGTTATTGCTGAACTATCAGAATTCTGAAACTGTGTATCTAAGAAGATGTTCGTCTTTTGAAAACGGCCAGGCTTGGGTCTCAACATGTGAAAACGCTTGATTATTACACATTTGACACTTTTCATAATGTAACAATCTGTCTGCCAGCATGAGTGTGCACATTAGCAATTTGTGTCATTATAAGAACCAGCTGCTTATTCACAAAGTCATACATCATAGTGAAATAGTGTATTTAATTCCATTGCTCTAATTTTAGTTTTCTTTTAGGAAGTCATGGTGCTCAGTCTTACAAGAATGCGCTGAGATCATTTTGTTATGTAGGCATGAAGGGAGGCCACAAAGAAACAGTCATCCAACAAACAGGGTCAGTTACTAGAACACCTCACACACAGGTTCACCTAGCACTGCAGATGACATTCGAGAAGCGACAATTGCAAAGGTTCATGCAAACCCAGAAAACTCATTTAGATAAACATGTGCAGAATTAAGGATTCTGGAGAGCACTGTACATAAGCCAAGTAAATGCAAATTTCAACCATACAAGCTGAGATTCCTCCATCACCTTTCAGAAGAGGATCCAGACAGGTACATCAAAATGTGTTCATGGTTTCTGAAAAGAACTGAAGTGACCCAAACTTCTTAAAAAGTCTTGTGCTGACATCCATTGCTAGGAGATGACTAGTGGAACCAGCAAATCCTAGTGCATGTGCAACAGTGAACTGAAAAATGTGTAAATAAGCAATAGTGCTGTATTGCCTGTATTTGAGTGTGCTTAAGAGAGAGTGTGTAACAAAGGTGCCTATAAATTCAATCATCCGAACTAGAACCCATCATTTCGTCACATGTACCACCCTACACATGACAGTATGTTCCGCCTGCAAGAGGAGGTCTTGAGAGGGAAATATACATTTGAAAGCTTCCAGCTGAAAAGTTGGCAATATTCTGGTTGTGATTGTATCACATAACGAGTCTGGTAAGGACTGAGCAAATAAACTCTCTTATAGAAAACATGATATAGGCCCTTCCAAGATTTCAAATGAAACATTAAATCCTACACCAATGAAGCTTATGGCAAGAACTTCTACATACTCAACATCCAGCCAGAATCATACGCTGAAGGAGATCGGCTATATTTTCAAGGGGCAGGACTCTCACCCCACCCTAAGAGTGTCAGAGTCACATTTATAGCCCTCCATTAACATTCCTCCAGAAGACAAGAAAACTTATAGGTGAACTGTTTTCAGAAGCAGGATAGTACTGGTCAAATGGGAGACAATCCTGTAGGGTATTAAACTAGAGCACCTCTCACTGTACTGATGCATGGCAAGTCAGCATTCAGCTTTCATTGCCAGGGAACCGCATTCCATGTCTCTCTTGATTACAGGCTCAGTCACAGGGTAACAGAATATAAAATTTACTGCAGCTGACAACAAACAAATCGGGCATCATTCAATGGCAAATACAGCCAAGCCACAATATGTTATACAATCTAATGCTGATGTTCTTACCTAGACTACAGCTACACATGCTGAACAAACTCTGGATTGAGGAATGAAAATCCCATAAACTCTGTTTGGTCCAGGTTCATCATGAACAGTTTATCTGTTGGTGTAAGATCTGTCTTCTCAGAAGTGAACTGTTTGTCAAAGTTGCTCACGTCCTTGCGATGTTTCTGAAATCAGAAAGCAGCAGAGTAAAACTTAATTTTACAGACATTCTGGAGTCCTGATACTATGTAGTAACTGAGCAGTCTCACACTCTGCTGTTTGATATACATACAGGAAACCCTCGTTAATCATGATTAATTGGGGGGAGAGGTCATCTGGATTAAGGGATAATATGGATTAGTGAAGGCAAAAGGGAGGCCACCCCCCAAAAAAATTAGAACGCAAACAAATGGAAAATTTAATGGTTTAAGCAGTGCTGATGAAAATAAATAAATAAAAAGTCACTGTAGAGCCGTTATTTAAAAACTACAAAAAGACAATACATTTATTTATCAACAGAAGACTCAGAAGTTGTATTTGTTTTTAATGTAACAATGAAGGACTGAAAAAACTGTTTTGTCTGAACAGACAAGTGACTCATCTGCCTCCTTAAATGCCATGTCTTTTTAAAGTAGTTACTCAACTGCGAACAGCATTTTTCATACTTCAACCCAGATTATTTGATATCTGGATTAGTGAGGGTTTACTGTACGTGCTGCTCTTCTACCCAGAAGGTAGATGCAGCAGGTTCCTCCAAAATATTAAACTACATGGCCTCACATCCCAGATGATCCATATCCTTAACATTTACTGTCACCAGAAACTTAAACTCCATTGCTGTATGTCAGTCACTTTTCTAGGTCCAAGGTTAGTAACTTGTGTTCATGTCTGGCCCCTGGCAGACAAGGGAAGCTTCTAATTCTGCCTAGCACACCGAGGTGCAGAGCAGAGGATTCCATCTGTTTACTAGTTGTTGACAGAGAAGTTAATTTGGCACTGAAAATTTAATCATCTTGTATGAGATTTGAGATTCTTGTGCTGATGAATACCAAGAATACAGCCTTCTCCAGTGTGGTTCCATGTCCCTGTAGGAATGTTCTGTTTGCATCTTCGGGAGAGAAGAAGAACATGTTTCTCCACAGCACTGGTACCTATCTACCAGACTGCATGGCATCATATCATAGAAAGCTATCTGATGAATGGTACACACATGCAGCTGTAGAGTTTCTACTTAAAATTACAGTTCTAAATTTTGTGATGATGGTATATTGCTACAAGTATTATGTTTTTGAACATTATCCTTCATCTTGTCTATTTTTTAAAAACCGTCCTGCTTCTTTTTTAAAACACAATGTTTCGGGGGCTGGATTCTGTCCCCATCCTCAGGTGAAACCTACTCACTTGGGTCCAATAGATAGAGCTAGCCCCTATCTCTGGACTGGTCTGGAGATTTTACTATGTAATAAAATACTATAGATAGGGTGGGAAACAAATATCTCTACTATCCACTGTTACCACTAAATATGTTTTGAGTTTCAAATCTGATATCATTAAATATTGTAACGTGTTGGGTATGTCACGCGACAAATAACTTCACGTGGGTCTCGGATTTAGTGAATCTTTATTGGACACTCACTCTTACACACCTTACAATTATTGCCACTTGCAGTATCACTTGCCTTCTGGCCCAATACTCTCAATGCGACGTCTCAACTATCCTTGGCTGTGGCTGGATCTCAACTGTCTCTGGCAGCGGCTTTCCCAAGATTGTCTCGTTCTCAATAGTTCAGTCTTCAATACTTCAATACTCAATATTCAATACTCTCATCTTCCATCTGAGGGCCAGGCCCTTTATATAAGGCACATGCGGACTCAATGGAGGACACCCCTCACCCACGTTTGATCTCATGTGTTTAGCAATCTGTTGCGTTTGGAACGCTCCCTATAGATTACACCAGTAACGTGTCTCGTCTCATCCATTGTTACTCAACGACAATTCGTTGCCATGATTTTGACAGTCACGTTGTCACGTAACAGGCACAACAAACTCTCTGTAGTTCATCTCTGGGGAGACGTGTTCGTTGCTTCGGCATTCTCTATGCAATGGCTCACTGTTATTGCGCTACCATGGAAGTACCTACTCCAACACGTTACAATACTATAGGGTTCTGTCGATGGCGTATAACACATAGAGATACTGGGTTTTTTGGACTTTGGCCATCATCCAGATTCTAAATAACTAAGAAAAAATACAACGTTTTGGAAACAGATCCAGTTTCCAAAACGTTGTGTTTTTCTTAGTTATTTAGAATCCGGACGATGCACAAAGTCCAAAAACCCACTATCTCTGTCTGATATCATTAAACTTTTTTATTCAAAGCTCAACTGTTTCAACTCTACAAAAATGTACAAATGTAGTGCCTATGCATGTGTGTGTGTGTGTGTTATTTTTTAAGTCTTACAATTTTGGGTTTGAAAGGTGGCTGGACTTCTCTGTTCTCAATTTTCTCCCAGTCAATCCGCCTGAAAAAGGCATGACCTCGAACATCTTCTTCACCTCGGGAACCACAGCCCAGGCGTTTGGTTGGATTCTTTGTCAGAAACTGTAACACATAAGCAAATAGCACCAAATATCACAGAACCATAACATCCCTGAACAGGTGAATACGACTCCATGCACCAAAGTGCTCAGACCCAGAAACTGAAGTCTGTCAGCAATAATACCACCACACACTGTTTGCTGTGTTTACTGTGAACTAGATTCTAAGTTACTGATGCATTTTGCCATTAATTTAACACTGTCACCAGATCTGGGATGGATGACAATGAAAAATTCCTGAGCTAATTTCTGCAAGAAGTCCATTATGAACTTCAAAAAATACATAGGGCATCCTCATATACTTGTAAATAATTACGATGCTCTTTCAGAAACAATTTAAAAATTCACCATACTTTTCCAAATCACAATACATTCCATTTACCAAGTAATATTTATAGTGTTAATAAAATTATTTTTAGAGCAGAATTATTACCTAATAAATACATCTGCATAGCAACATGCAATCTGCATGTCTGACTACAGATTTCAACTGAATTGTCAAATTCCTATCACTATGGCAGTAATACTCCGATCACAAACACTTGACAATGTAGGTTGGCCACATGAAGGCACACGCCAATGTTTCTGTATATGCAGCCAGTGTGACCTACATGTAAACATAAGTAAACATAAAGTTCCTGTGCTTCATTAAGTAATAGATCACGCAGATCTATGGGTGATCGGAAGTAGAGCTCTGAGCGTTCTTATCCTTGGCACTAGATGGGGGGGGGTGCTGTCAGTCTCATGTCCCAGCTGCTTACTCCCAAGGAAAGAGCTCCCTGTACCCATTAGATATGAGGCTGTGCGAGCCCCAGAGCTCATCTGGACACTCTGAAGAAGAGAAAAATCCTGCACCTTCAAATATCCAGCTTGCAGTCTAGTCACCATACAGACTAAGCTATCCCAGTTCACATATTTGCCTAGTGGGTGCAATGAAACCAAAACACAGAACAATTACAAGTCATACTGACAAGATCAATCAAGTATTATCCTTTCATTATGACCTATATTCCTAACTGAAAAATGTCTCAAAGCAAAATTTGACGAGAGATGCTGAACTGCAATGGTTACAGGATCTGAGCTAAATGAACAGAGAAAAAGTGAAGAACAGATGATAAGGACCTAGTAGGCACTTCAGTGCAGTTACAAAAAGAATTTCTGAAACGATAAGCTTGCAACACACAGTAAGAACAAGAATACTGCACACTTGCATACAGGCATAAGTGAATTTAAGAAGGATGAGAAAGGAAACATACTTGAAGATACCCACATTTTGTTTGAATTTGTGGAAGAAATTATTTCATTCAGCTACTGAACATACATAGGGTCAGGGGTGTTACGCAGATGGAAATAAGCGAGTTATTAGTACCTGATCCTAGTCCTTTTGAGGATGATATTGCTATTACAAAGTTGAAAAGGTACAAACTGCCAGTTACTGATAAATTCTGGCAGAACTGATTCAAGCAGAAAATACTGCTTTCTGGTTCCATAAACTCATAAATCCTATTTGGAAGGAGGAAGATCTGCTTCAGCAGTTATTTTGTGTATTCACAAGGAGGGTGATAAAACTGACAGCAGTAACTATGGTAGCATATCACTGATATCTGCCATCTGATTAGAGCAAAATATAATGTGGGGTTATACTGTAGTGATATGACTCAAAAGTACATTTATTTTAACAATTATTTTGTACATGTCTCTAGCATTGAACCATCAGAAATCATTCAGTAGTTCTGGAGACAAAACATGCAGACAAGACAATTGCTTACTTTACACACTGCAGACAATGACACAGTGGTTACAAGAAGTACCAACTGGTTGAGTGAAAGACTGAGGTGCAACTTACTCCTTTGCAGGACTCCTTAGCTTCCTTGGACAGACTCTTTGGGTACGACACATTGTGATCTGTGATCGCTGCAAACAGCTCTTCTTCATCTTCACCATCAAATGGAGGCTGCCCCACCAGCATTTCATACAGCAATACACCATACGCCCACCAGTCTACAGATTTGCCATATGGTTGATACAGAATTATCTGCAAATACAATGTTTTTCTCAGCAGACATATCTTCTATAGCAGCTGGAATCTTAAATGAGCGAAAGATCATGTTCTTCACCTAAATAATTGGAAATTCATCTCTATATGAGTTTAGGAGAAACAAGCAATGCCAAGCCTCATCCTGGGACATAAGGTAAGGTAAGGTAAGGTAAAGCTATCGAGTAACCAGCGATGGAGGCCCATAGGGTTGTGAGATGTCGAGGCCGTCACATTTCCTGTCCAATTGGCTCACAAATGGTGGTGAGGTTGTCAGCCTTATGCGTCAGTTGCCCTTTACCCGAGGATGATTTCTGGTACTCATTTCTGTCAGAGGCTGATTTGACCCCAGGGCCATACTGCAGCTGGAAAGATTAAGCCATCTCCCCAAACAGGGGAGAAGTGTTTCTTATGAGGTCTGTGCTGAGGTGTGATAAGCAAGAAAAGTCTATAGATGTTAGGTGTGAGAGAGGCACCAGCCAGTGATGGCATGAACACAGGAGATATGGTGTTGAAAGCTGTTACCAGGTGACAACTGTTGGGGATACAGCATACTGCAAAGACTTAGTGCATGCTGTAGTGAACTGCAGAGTGTGTGAATTAGCAATAGTGCTATAGTTACTTGTAGTTATGATCTGTAAGTGTTCAATAAATCCAATTACCAATCCAACCCCCCTCCCCCACTTCTACAGTTACTTATACACATGACATTATGGTTCTTAGTAGCAATGATTTCTACTATGAGGGCTGTACTTCATTGTGTGGACTGAACAGGAAACACCACATTCCCGTTCACCTGCAGTGGTCTTTCAGAGACAGTCTGGATAATTATCTGAGGCACTGACAGACTGATCACTGTTCCTCATGCAGTTGGCATATCACAGCTGCATCAGCATTCTTAGTGCAATATGTAGGCAAAAGGATGTACCTACAGATCCTCTCTGGTGATGGTGTGCCAACTGCATTCATCAGTGTTGTCAAATTTTGGTTCCAGCGCAAAAACTTCTGTACCTACCTCACACTGCGTGAGATTTGGGTTCTCAAAGCCATGAATATGAAGACTGCACATGTCAGCTTATTAAAACTGTCTCATACAAATACTGTTTTGTTAACCTGATGCATGAATAAATGATTCAACAGCAATAATGACTGAGATGTGATGCCACAGGGTCTAGTTACAGACAGACAGTTACAAAACTGGTGCAGAAACCTTTGACTCTGAAAATTGAAACAGCAAGTTCTTTCAAAATGGTGGTATCATCTACTGCACTACACAACATTGCAGAAGACACAGCTGTCTCACACTATCCTCATTTCTTGATGTTGCCAGCCACTGGCTGCATGTGTGATCTTCTGTGTCATAACAATCCATTGGACTGTAATGACACTCAGATATCATGTTCTCGGACCTCGCTTAGTCAGCATTCAACATCCAAAGCACTGCAGTGTTTCAGTCATAGTTTATCTAATTGCTGACAAAATGTGTTGCAACTGACCACTTCAGGCAAAACATTTCTACACATCTACCAGGCAGGGTACTCTACTCTGAGACCCAACAAGCCCGCCAACCTAATGGCTATTGAACAACTCCACCGTGTGCATGTTCTCACATGTGTGGCCATAGGCTCCAGCCCACTGCCTGCTACAGTGTCATTGTATTCTCTCTTGCTTTGGGATTCTTTGAAGCTGCTGACATACATGAAAGTTATGGATGTTTCATTCAGAAATAATACGATCATTATAACAGATCTGATGTATAAAAGCAACTGGATGTGAATGCAAGACAGCTGGCAACTTAAACTTGAAAATACAAACCTCAGGAGCGATGTAGTCTGGTGTCCCGCAGAACGTCTTGGTTGTTTTATCACCAGAGATGCCTTCCTTGCACATCCCAAAGTCTGCTATTTTAATATGTCCATCTTGATCCAACAATACATTGTCCAGTTTCAAGTCTCTGTAAACGATCCCTCGTGCATGTAGGTAGAACAGCCCGATCGCAATCTCAGCAGCATAAAACCTGCAAATATATGTGAGCTTGTGGCAATATCTTATCATACATGATGTAATGCAAGGGGCCTAGCAACAACTTCATGTAATGGGCCCCACAGGATTTCTTTGCCTTTTACCTGAGGATGAAGATGCAGCTAGACTGTGGAATATCACACGCATTTTAATCCAGACAACAGTCAGTATTGAACGAAAGATGCCCAGAGTAGTTACTGAGCCCTCCCATCTTCAAGAGAATGGATGCCATAGATGTTTTTCTGGGCAAAACGGTAACCAAAGAATGTTCACTGACAGACTAGGGAAACCTTGCCTCCCTACCTTTGTGCCTTCATGGATTGGTCTACATAAATTAGTACAAGAACACATATGCTTACTGCATGGTGTGGTCTGCTCCAAAATGAAGAACAGCTCAATGGGAAAGAAAGGCAGAATAGAGTGCTTAGCCATATACTTACACTGCTACTGGCTCCTTGAATTTGCCACACTGTTGGATTTGGAACATAAGGTCCCCACCATTTACATACTCCATCACAAAGTAGAGTCGGTCCTGCAGGAAAACACGAGATACTGAGTGCAGGGCAATTAAAAGTGTAGTCTCATTAAACTATAGGGGGCACGCGGTAGCATAGTTGCTTGAGGCACTATGCTACAAGCTGGAGGGTCGCAGGTTCAGGTACCAATGAGGTGGATTTTTTCAATTTACCTAATCCTTCCAGCTGCACTATGGCCCTGAGTTCTCAACTCAGCCTCTAAAAGAAATGAGTACCAAGAATTTTCCTGGGGGGTAAAACGGTGGCTGGTGCATAAGGCTGACAACCTTATCCCCATCTGTGAGCCAAATGTCTAGAAGATGTGGGAGCCTTTACCTCTCATATCCCTATGGGCCTTCAAGGCCTGTTACAGGGACAGCTTTATTTGCTCGATGTGTCTGTCTCTTCAACAGTTAAATCTACCAGTTTCATACTGAAAAACAATTCAGGGAAGCCCACTACATGCCATGCTTTTACAGTGGCACTGGGTCCAACACCGCCCAAGAAGTTTTCCTTTGTTCTTTGTAATGTTCCACATCCTCCTATACAAAGTCATGAATAACGGTCATCGTCATCACTTTCATCATTCACTATATCAAGAAGAGCACAATCTTTTCATGACAATTCATTATTGCTATACAAGGCAGAATCTTGTGAACTTTCTTCAGATTCACTCACAAATTAATATTCTCCCATGTCATCAAGCAGCCCAGATGATTATTTCCCGCTAGCAGAGGGCTTGGCTGCTCCATGGTGACTGTGTAATGCATATTTATAGAGAAAAATGGAGTGCACAGTAGATGCATTCACACATATATAAGTGTTATTCTTTCCTATGTTGCACAAGTCTAGTGAGTCAAGATCAAGTTGCAAGAACCACAAGTCTCTTCTCACGGTTACAAATACTCAAGCAAGAGCAGCACTGTCTAGACCATGAAACAATGTCACTAAACACTCAACAAAGTCGAATGTTTGTTACAGTCAACAAGCATCAAACACACATAATTAACTTCTGTTTCAATCTGTATCAATCTATTGCATTTAGTTCACAAGAATTATCCACGACAGAATCAGACTAACGTAAAGCACCAGCTGGTTAGCCTGAGGTATAAATGCTGCAGGAAAATGAAAGTGTGACAACACATATATAAAACGAAAGCTCATAATTTCATCTTTGATTTCATATGTAAAAGATTGCTTTACGTTAAACGCAACAATTCAAAATATGAGCTGCAACTTATCACTGCAACAGGTGCAATACGTACATGGAAGAATGCAATGTGAGAAAACCACTGGGCATCACTGAAGGGTTAAATAATGCGAGTTATTGTTAAAATAACCATACAGAATACAAAACACTTACCATGGTCTGGAAGCATGAATGAAGCTGAACAAGAAAGGGTGGTTTCCCCGAGAGGGCAAGCACCCTCTTCTCCACCATAGTACACTCGACATCATCATCCTGGATGATTATGTCCTTCTTAAGGATCTTGATGGCATAGAGTTCATCTGTTCCTTTTCTCTCAGCAAGCATCACCTTCCAACAGAAATGGAAACAACAAATTATCAACACATTCTGTAAAGTGGTAATCATAACAACAATCATTTGAATGCTTTCACGAACATAGCAAAGAGGGAGAAGCACAAATTGACAATTACAGAATTCAGTGATGTATTAGTAAAGTATGTGCACAAAATGGTGATCAATTATTTTTGGAAATTTTACCTGAGGATTCATTTCAACATATCCAGTCACCATCAATGCTCCTAAAACTGGTATCTGAATGTGCCATCTCAAAGGAGCCTGAAATATCTTCACAGACGAAAAACTGCCCTGATATAAACAACAGGTCAATTATGAGACCTATTTATTTCTTCAGGTCACTGGCACCAAAACTGAACGCAAACTGCTGAAGCTATTTCAGAAAGATGCAAGACGCTTGAGCAATGATGCCAAGTGTGAACTGAAAGAACTGAGTCAATCAACTGCAGTACAGAATGACACTGAGATGAGGCACTGTGTAGTTTGGATGACCCTGAAGATGGAGGATAATGCTCTGAAATGCTGGTTCCTATCTACCAGACTACACTGTGCCAGAAACTGTAAGCTGAATGCTCACCACAGTCTCACACCAAGCTCACAGCAGGTAAGACCTTAACATTTCTTACCTTTCCAAAGCTTCCCTTGCCCAGCACCATGAGGAAGTTGAAGTCTGAGGCACGGATGACATCCTTCTTGCCCATATTGTGTGGCACATCCTTGTCTGACACAAGCGGAGCCTTCTTCGTGATTGATGTTTTCTACAGTCACAAACAAGCTCAGTGCTAACATTGCAACATCATTGTATGGTGGGAAAGAACACTCTGTCATCACCAGTAATGAAATCTAGGATGCAAATGTTGGACTTACAAAACTGAAGGGAAGTACAAGTACACCAGAACATTATTTGATTCTGTGTACTAGAAGTATGTACAGAACACTAATTTAAATATCCTAAAATAACTTACTGAAAATGATCACAGGACTTCCACATTGCCAAAAAGCAACTTACTCTGACTTTCATATGGTGATGTGTCAAAATAGCTAACACCACTCAAAATGGCAGATGCCCAGAAAAAAGATTATGTTGAACTATAATTAAATTTAAAGAAGAAACTAAACCGAAGTTAAAAACCACTCTCATACCAATAAGCATGAAAACATTCATGATGTTCTTTTTATTTTGCGCAAAAGAGCCAGCACCTTTATTTGATGGATAAATATATTCCACGATTGTTTCATGCAGATAACTGAAGAATCAAAAATAATAAATATGACAATGTTAAATGGAACAAAAAGAATATCTAGCATGAAATTAATCCAGTTATTAACAGAGATCTACTGAAGAAATGAACACAAGAGATATGTTGGCTGTGGCCTAAGTACAGCACACAGAAGAGAAAAACAGTTTTTTTTTAATGAACATCACTCAAGTGCTTGTGTGAAATTTAAGATATTTCTTTCAACATGTTTTTGAACACACTACCCATATTTCATGAACACGATTAGTTCCCACTGGTAAATATTCAAGTGTGTGTATAAATATGAAACATGGTAAAAATAATTGTAATTTACGTGTAAGATTTGAGGTTTTCATGGTGGTGACTATGAAGAAAGCAGTCTTCTGGAATGTGGCGCCTTGTAGATATTGTGTTAACCGACGTTCCCTCCGAAACATCGGTTAACACAATATCTAGAGAGCGTCACATCCCAGAAGACTGGTTTCTTCACCGTAATTTACATGATTTGAGGTTGCTATAGCAGCTTGTATTCATTGAAAAACAGAGTCTTTTGCAGACTGCACTGTGGTGTGAAAATGGTAAACATCAATTGAAAAAAGGTGTGATATCCAGGACAGTAACTGCTACAGAAGTATACAGGGGTCATTAACCAGCAGAAAATGTGGCAATTTGGTTTAGGCTATCATCTGCCATATTTGAGTATTCAGAGTCTAAACAAATCATCTTTCAGAATGGAAGATACTGGGGAACTGAAGTCACTTCAGTTTCATGGACACAAGGTAATCATTATATGGTAATAATACTCCTCGGATGTGATGCCATGTAGTTGGCAATCTGTTGCCCCAATCTTCTGGGAAGGATAAGAAGTGACTCTTCCCTCCCTCCTGAATATGTAGGTTACAGTTTCTTCAAGAACTCTGGTATCTATCTACTGAACTTCATGGTGTCACACTGAAGAAGACTGTAATTGCTGTATCTGAACACAGCATACATACAGCTTAACCTGGTTAGCATTATGTGCATTTGTGTAACATTTCATGAAAGACAAACACTGTGAATGCCTTCTTTACTTGGCTTCCATGATAGATAAGTAGGTACACTTGTGCAGTGTGATGTGTTTCATACTAAGAATGAAAGAAGTTGGCATGTCATGCAGTGCAAGTTAATTCAATCATTGCCAATTAAGCAATTTTGACTTGTGACAGCAAGTGGAAATCTGTGGTAACAGCAATAACATTTTAGTTCACAGTTAATATGCTCAGACTATCTGCAAAATGCATTTTATACTGGTCTCGCACAACTAATGATGGAATTTAAATGTAACTACAGGCAGTATGGGTGTTTATTACCTGTATAAGAGTACACATTTCAGTCAATTAATTTTAGATATCATCAAGCCTTATGTTCCACACAAATTACTTAATAAAATATCATATTATTATACCAAGTTAGAACAAGCGAATATTACACCTTTACAGCTAGATTTCCAATGTTTTCAGCAGTACAATGCATGACAAGTTTAAATAAAAGCAACAGGAAATTGCAATCTTACTGCTGTTCCTCCCTCCCCATTCTGCACAGTAAGTCACCACTCACCCATGATCTGTTTAATTCCAAATTTACACATGTAAGCTACCTTGTGCAACTGTATCATAAGTTCTGCAGCATGTCTCTGCTGATTTGCACATGCCTCAACTGAAAATGGCACAGCAAATTACAGAAAATAATGACTCCTTCACTGCAAGCACAGCAGTCTGGCTACACTAGAAATGACATTCAGTTGTACTGTGTGTCTGCTAAACACTTATCAGTTTGTGCATTTTTTAATAGTTCTTATACAGAGTATTAATACATGAAGAATCCTACTCAAAATAATAAATGCTCCATGTATGCAGTCTGTCTATGCTCTGTGTTGTATAGGAGAACTTTGTTTGTCATGCTGATTTCATAACTGAATTTATTACCTGCTTTAACACAAAAAAATCTCCATTCTGCCCACACACTGTATGCATGATTTGCACAGTAAATAGAGATTATTTCCCTTAACAGCATTACCCAGTTAGTCTTTGTAATGGAAACAGTTTTTTTTCTGATGCAGAAATGGAATCTTAAATGCTATGCAAATGAACATTAGGCATCAAAGACTTCAGGTACACAAATGACTGTGATTCCTGTTTCATACTTAAGATGCAAACTGAAGCTTTATGTAGCCAATAGGTCCAATAACTGTTCATAATTAGCAGATAATTAGAGGCTGAGGAAGTTCTGATATGTAAGTGCGAGTGTTAGTGTCCAGTCAGATTCTGCTGCATTGTGTGAACACTATGACAAAGTGCACTTAGGCCCAAGCCTACTGTTACTGCAGCATACTTGCTCTGAAATAATGTGCTCACTTTGCTTCAAACGAACTGAATGTACTCTGTGCAAATCGATACTGAAAGACAAATAAAGGAATCTGTGAAAAACTTAAAAAGAGGGAGAAAGAGAAGTTTCATACACTGGGCATTATTTATTCTATACAGAAACTAACAAATTTTGTATAACTGATGCGTAAAATAATATCCCAACTTCAATAACTAGACCTCATTTAGTTTTGTTTTTGCAGTAATAAAGTAAGCTTAAAAGGTGCAATTTATTTGGAACTGATTCCCTGAATCTGTGATATGGACAATATGTATGACTCACAAACCATTCTTCAACACAGAGTTCATCAGTGCTGGGCCACTTATCATACCATGAGATGAGGTCATTATTTCTGTCCACAGAACTCCAGGGTTCTGTACTTCCAACCACAGTTTAATGGCTCTTCCCATAACATCACTGCCAATGTCATCATCACCACCACCACTGCCACAAGCAATGGGTTTGCAGATGTTGCTTCATTGTTCAAAACAGATGAAGCAAACATCATCTTGCAGGACACATTTAAATCAGACAATGACATGGAAACAGCAATAGAATGATTATTGAAAGAACATGGGACACTACCGTGAATGGATAGGGGAAAGAAAAACTCATCCTTCAGTATGCTGAATGTCTCAGGCTGTGTATAAAACAGTTTACAGGAGTCATAATGATGCATTATCCATACACAAGAATTGGTAGATCATTTTAAGATAAACTTCTGGCAAACTTAATTTTCAGCCATCCTTCATATACTGACACTGCACTGAGGCCAATCAACTCCGATGTTTCCCCTGCAGTGGTTATGCTTCCCCCTCCAGTATACCTCCCAACATTCTCCTCCAGTCATTCAGCTGTTTTCTTAACTTAAATGTTGGTCAATGATAAGCAGGTGACAACTTTCATTAGCAAGACATGCTCTGGGAGGTTGGCACTAGCAAAATGGGAAAACAACCATCCAGGAGACTTCTTTCTGTGGCCTCAGTACAAGTCAGGAAAGAATGTGTATCAGAAGACTTGACGCAAGGCCAATAGGTGCACTACCAATCTTTGCAGAACTAGTCAACAGTACTAACACAATAGATGACATTTTTCTTCTGCTACTGTGACTGTTTCCTCCACAGAATAACTGTTCCTCCTCTCAGACCTTACAAAACTCACTTGTAGATAAACAAACTTGTGAATGGTTTTACTAATTGAACACACTCTATTCTCCTTACCTGCTTCTCAATGTTTAAGAACATTTTCTATTCTAACATCAATTTATTTTCAGAAAACAAGGAATAAGTGTAATGAAATAATACTACAATGATGTTTATGTAATACAATTAGCTAATTTGTTAAAAGCGATGAAAATAAACATGCCATTTTGAGCAGAAAGATGATTAATCAATAATGTTTTTTTGACACTGCATCTCTATGCATCATGCTTATTTTTGGTGAGCTCACATGGTTTATTGAATTTCTCGGAAAAAGATACTCAGAAATTTAGTGAAGGAACCAAACAAAAATACACATTATTAGGTGACATGAATTACAAATTTTTAGTCAGTGAACTAGAAGTGTATATTGCAAGATGACTGGTCTCTCAAAAACAAAATCCTTTCACTTCACAATTTTTGGCCTGATTAAGTCAGCTGTTTTGTTAGTCTGAGCGAATCAGACAAAACTTTTGTAATGAATATGAACAAGCAATGGTACAGAAGCCTAAATTCAAGCTTCATTAGCTTGCTAATGAGCCTAATCTTATTTTCCATGATTCAAGCTTCCATGGCAATTATGGGCAGCAGTATCTTCTCAGATGATCAGCTGTATGAAGACAAGAGTCAGTATCCAACATCTTAGAGCATATACTTTGTGTATAAGCATAGTGCATGTGGCTGCATCATGCATCACATCAACCTGATGATGGACAGAGAGAGACAGTCTCTGAAACACCACTAGATACTAAACCCCATCTTCACAGAGCTGATTACCCAATAAGGCTTCACTTCACATATCCATGTTTATTAGTTATAAATGTAGATTATTTAATGTTTCCAATTATTTATACTGAATTCATTAGTGGCAAGTATGTAATAGGGCTACATGATAATAAGCTTGTTAGGCAGAGTACATGCTACTTCTACCAGTGATCATAGGCAAGCCATGCACAGCTGTTAGCACTACCTGCAGACTGATCTGATCAAGACCACCATGTGGAACCAACACCAACATCACAATATCTCACCCTTAACACTTACACTAAAAAGAAAATTAAAACAAAAGTATTTTGAATAATGAAGGAATGCTGAAAGGTATTATGGACTAACAAATCTCAATATGTGTACTGAATAAGTGTATCACATGGCAAACTTACTCTTCAATTTTGCATTATGAGTATTCTGTGAATAAGCACATGGATGTACCTTGCAGTTGCAGACTTACTGGTCTCAACATGTCAACACCTTATACCTTAACTCATTAAGTCCATTACTGGAAGAGGCTCAACGCACAACCACATGTTGGAAACAAACGTACCTTACATAATCTTAATGTTGTTTATGTTCTCATCATCTAAAGAGTTCTATTAAAGAGTTATGTGTGAACTGAAATTACTGTCAGTGTCAATTTCAAGTTACTAATATGATATGACTTTAATGTCAAAAATATTTAAACTCACTTAAACTTTTTGGAACAAACTTAATCACACATCAGTATCAGGTAATCATGTTGGGCAAATTTTATTTAATTATGATCAAATTAATGGCATGCCACTTCCCACCTGTTATTACTACAATAAAATTGAAGAAAATCCAATTCATACTGCTACTGGCTTTCCTTAGTCTTATTCAACACAATAATTCTCTCACAAATAGTTAACTATTCTTTCTTGAATTCATTTATGCAGTGATGCAAATGTTTATATTTCAAATTCTCGCGTGCTCGCTCCTGATAAGTACCATCTGTCATTACTCCTGGATTTTAATTTAACTTTTGACCGTCAGCATATCGCCCTAATCTCACATCACAACTTTGCTCTAGGCAATTATCCCTTGCTTTACAACGTTTTAAATAATACTGGCTGATCTTGTGTTCTGAATGGAAATTCCATGGACTCCACAATTCACAATCTCACTGCCACAGTGTGTGAAGCTGTAAATCTAGGCATTCCTTACATATGGTCCAAGAATTTTTCTTTTCCACATCATTTATCTAATTCTTTAAAATTTTATGTTTAGAAGTAAATCAGTGCTTCAAAAGTTTCATCTCATCAAATTCTGTAAGTTCTGAACAAATCATTTTAAAATTGGTAACTGTGAAATAAAACAAAAGTTCACCTGGCTCTTCAGATAAACAAGCAGCCATGGCTGCTCAGAGCAATCTGAAAGTATACAGTTTATTTATGCCTCACTAAGGAATGAATGAATGAATGTATAAGGGGTGGGCCTTCTCGGCCCTTGCACTGCGACCTACAGTGATCTATTGTGTTTTATATCTCATTAAGTTCTCAATATATTGTCACAGAAATGACTCCTGATATTAACCCTTTGGCTGCCAAGTCCTACCACAGAAGTACCTGCTAGAAAGAATTAGGCTGTTTGGGAGGAATACAATTGTATAGAAGAACCCAAATACTAGCTCAAATGAACTTAAAACAACCATAGATATAGAACATGAGAGAGCCTACTCTTTTCTCTAAACACTGCTATGTCACACTTGATGCCAGCAATTGACAAGACATACAAATATTGTAATGATTAACAACAAGCCAATTTTCTTCTACTGTCACAGAGAAAGTATGCCAAGCCAAAGTAACTGGCTCACACTATCCAAGGGGTTAAGCTATTGGTTCATGGTAAAATCTTCCCATCAGGACTTTTATGCTGTTATAGCACATACAAATAAAACATGTATAAAAATCAAAATGATCAGAAAACCTTTTATGAAACATGTTTAACCAAATCAAATTTTCAACTTACATAATTCTAATGCAATGAATGGATATAATAAAGTACACAGATATTTGTCTATATATTCTGGCATTTTGTGTGGACTCTTGAATCTGTGATACACTGTTTTTAAATTTGTGAACTGTGGCAACATTTATGTACATGCCAAGTATTCTGGCAAGCTTGGATGAAAAATATTTAGCAGTTAGCAGCAAAATTCTTCTCTTGAAACAGGTATGCCAATGTAATCACAGCACCCTTAATGCCAATGGAATAATTATCTTAAATCCATATTTAACCTTCAAATCACAATGAGTATTGTATATACCACTTGCTTTAACATTACAAAAATTCTTCATTCTGCATATAATGTTCAGTACAGTAATCACGATCTACTATTATTCCTCCAAACAGCATTAAGTTGTTGTCTTTGTCATGGGGACAGTGTGTTTTCTGTGAGACAAGAACTGAATGTGTAAATATTTTTCAGCTGAACTACAGGTTTCAAAGGGTTAACTAACTTAATTTCACAACATATACTTCACCCCATAAATTCAGCCTACAGTTTACCAATCCCAGCCTTCAGATGAAGTATTTAAGTCAGACCATGCAGTGTAGTTACACCACTGTTGTACACTGTTCAAGGAAGGAAATAGGGTTGAAAACCAACCAAAGTTTTGTATTTGAACTACTGACCTGATATGAACCATTTCCAACAGGGCAAGTTCCTGACTAAATGACAAATAATAAACAAAAATATATTTTCAATTTCACAGAACCAAAGACAGACAGACAACAGAGAACTGAGGCATAATGTTTCATCATACAAAGTGAGGGAAGTATCAGGAATGCAACAGCACTGAAAGGGATCATCTCACAGAATGGTGGTGCCAGTGTTCATTCGACAAGGTGGTATCAGCAACAACATGCACTGTAGTCACCTAGAAGCCTACAAAGATGCAAAACCTGTGCCCACCGTATGTCGAACTTGACTTTTGCTAAGTATCGTTGATCCCTGTTGGAGGGAACAAACAAGTAAGCAATATTAGATTAAGTTTAACCCTTGAGGCAGCAGCATACTATGTGAACAGTCTCCTTTGTCAACTGACTTGTGACTGAAAGGGGTAAGTTATCACCAGAAACATTCAGACAGTTAAACAGACATAATGATAGGTACAATAGTCCACATTTAACTGACTGGCTATGTCACTATTTTAAAAATCCCTAGTATGAAAATATTCAGTTGACTGCTCTATACTGCAGCAGGGATAATATAACAAATATAAAGAAATATCTTGCACTTTCATATTATAAGTTAAGTTTTATATGCTTTTAGAATATGGCAACACTGACAGCATAAATATGGAGCTTAACAAAGAAATCATTCTTAAAAACTGATTTCAACTTAATTATATCTCTCATTCAAAGTATCACAGACACATCTTGTTCTTATTTTTTATTCATTTAACAATGATTTCAGTCACTCACATTATACAACATCAAAAGATTGGATGATCAGAGAATGAAGTGGAATGAATGTGGAAGGGCATGACTATGCCTAATATAAGACACTATGCTGCCACATGCCTGATGACAGCAAGGAAAACCATGGAAGATCTCATAAGTACTGCTGGTCTCCAGACCAATAATGCAAGTCAGGACCTTCTGAACATGAAGAAGGATTGCTGATCACTCAGCCGCAAGGTACAGTCACAGATATATCCTGTTTTGAAGTCTGGAACTTCAGCTGAAGCTCTTAGAGGAGACACTCTTAAAGTGCTTCTGCTGACGTTACGCCACCTCTGCAGAAGCAATGAATACATTAGTGGCAGAAATACACTGTATCATTTTACACTCCTCCAGCTATTCTACCAATTCTGATTGCAACTATAAGGTATTGTGACATGTAGACCCATTGCTAGGGAACTACTCGATAAACACATTCCAGTAGCAATGAATTAGATAACTTCCGTTGTGATGTAATAGCACTGTAAATACAACAGCGGAAGAGGTGTTTTCTATTGGTCTGCCTTGAGACTATATAGGTAGTACAGAACAGAATCAAATGAGAATGGAAACTGAGGGAGTGCAAAGGAGTACATGGGAGTACAATGGAGAACAACAGAGTTCAGTTCAGTACAGTTCAGTTGGAAGTCAGAATAGTTCAGTGCAGTGTCCAGTCAAAGAAGATGAATGCATGTCAGATTGTGATTTGTGAACTGTTGTGACCAGTTGTATTAAGGTCCAATAAATTCGATCATCAAATCCAAAACCCATCTTATTAGTCACGCAAACCCCTGATATGTGACAGCATAATGGAATATTTGTGAGATATCAGGTTCTCATGATAGTGAGTAATATGATTTTGAATCTTCTCTGATGCGACATTACATACTCCAGTAGATACAAACATTTTCCTCTGCCACAAAGATAAAGGGCAGCACGTTCCTCTGAAAAGCTGGTAGTTATCGACCAAACCAGATGGTGCCATATCTCAGATGTTTGGAGCTCCATGTTCAATAAATCGAGTTACCACACCAAGCTCCAGTCTAGCCACTAACACATGACAATATCTTAAAAAGACAAATTTTGGGGAGTGGGAAGTTATTTTACAGCACTGTCAGTAGCTGCATTATATGGTGTTGAATGGTAGGATAACAAATGAATTGTGAATTACAAAGGATTTTGAAGGAGGAGGTTGTGGTCTGATCAAGGTGTTATAATGGAATTTGCCTGGAGGGGCTGAGGAAAGCCACAGAAAACCTCAGTCGGAACAGCCAGTGTCCTAGGTGAGACTAAAACCAAGCATCTCCTCAATACATGTCTAGAGAATTATTGCTATGTACACTCATTTGGTGTGAACACTTTAGTTACCAGTGATGAATGTCTTATCACAACCTGTACCATCTTAACAGAGTTCACTACAAGATTTAGTTGTTTTTTCACATTTATAAAGATCCATTCACTATGAAACAAAAATGAAGAAGGCTGAAATGGATATATACATATATTTACTTTAGCTTTGCAGCTCTCTGTCAGTGTGCCGCAATTGAAACACAGTATAGGGCTAGCTTGCATTAGTTATGAACTGGTCTATCTGCATGTGATAAATAACATATGAGTACCATAGAATCTGGCACTGTAATTAACAGAAATTACTAGCCACAGTCACTGCACGAAGTCACACAGTGAAGACTGCCACCCCAAGTGAAATTAGCAGGCCTGTTATTTCTACTGACTCTCTGAGCATGTACTAGCCCCACAACCATTATAACAGTTCTTCATAAGTACATTTTCAATTATGAATGAAAACCCAGACTCTTCATGAAGTCATGCCTAACACTGTTAACAATCTCTGTTACTTTCATTTTCAAAAATGTTAACAGATATCAAAACTTCAGACCAGAGCTCCAGAAAATAAGAAATGCAACTAAAATGCATCAGACACTTAATGAAATACACTGACCAATAATTCTACAATTTATATAAGCCAAATATGTGTACAGGAATCTCAAAGAGATACTGCAAAATGCAGCATTAACTTCACAGCACTAATACATTGCTTACAATACTTTCTGCACCTTACACAAGATAATGAATAATTTTCCTTATTAACTGTTAATACAGTGAGGTACTGATTTTTCAGACCAAGGTTCAAAACAAACCACAGGTCACTATTAATTCACGTACCATAACAATAAAAATATTTCTGGAGTCCCGACCACAGGGAATACTTGTACATTCAGAGTATTGCTTCTCTAAACTTGAAAAGATATTTTCTTCAAAGAAGAGAAAAATTATAATAAGCACTAGAGTTAACAGATTTCCATTTCATACGATTAACACCTCTTTTTTGTACAATTTAAGAAAAAGTCCAAAATGAATATGATTAATATTCAAGTTATATTCGTTTTCTTATGTGTAATGTTTTGTGAGAGAATGACAGTAAATTAATTTTACTTCACAATAAGCTGAACTTCCCATTCCCTCAGAGAGTCAGTAATTGGCATTAGAAGCATATTAAATTAAGAGCCAAATGTTAAGGTGTCCTGTGCGGGCAAATGGAGCTGTGCACTGCACCTCTGAAATGTAAGCAGTTGATGCTAATGTGTGAAGTTTATGCAACCATTAACAAAGAGGTACAAACTGCTCATAACTCCAGCCCTGGTCAGACTCACCCTTCACATTCATGCATTACTGCAAATCAGTTAACAGAAGCTGTTAAATGTACATTTAGATGTAAGATTAATGATGGTAGTTCAGATAGTTATGTTTACACACTGTAATGCAGACAATGGGAAACATCAGGTTATGGATGAAGGTAATGTCACAGTTGCTGGCAAATGAGCATCAAACAGTGTCATTTGCCAGTTTACTGCATTTGCAAATTACATGATGAATGCGTGTAACAAATGTTTATCCTGCCAGCTTGTAGCAAATATCTAGCCAGAATAATTACATGACTGGCAGAAATACATATCTTCCAGCTATTTGATATTACAAAATGGAGCATAATTAATTTTTACTGTGAAACAGAAAAGAATTCACTTCACAGATATCAACAGAGGATTATTAATCATAACTGTCAAGTCATCAGGTTTATCTAAAACAGAACTGAAAGCTAAAAATCTATTTTATTTCTATTCCTACAAAGCAATGACAGGATCCCTAAAATCAAACGGTAGCTCCATTTCATTTGTCTAATTTCCAGTCTCCTCAGAACAACAATGGCTTATCATGAACCCTTATTCTCTTCCCTGTCCATCCATATTCATTTCATGTCCCATCACAGGCCTAAAAATATTTAATATCTGTTTTTTTTTTAAGGAAGAATTTTAATCAGAAGTGTTTGTTGAATGTACCTGTTACACATCATAAAATAGAATCAACAACTGAACTCTGGCATTCCAGCCAACTGTAGGTGAGGAAACAACCTCAAAAAATGAAGTTAGCCCTGCACTTAATTAAGTGCTATGCCATTAAGACATCCTTATGCTTAATTAAGCATTATGCCATAAAAACATATCCCAGTGTTCAATTAAGCAACATTCCATAAAGGCATGAGCTGTGTTTAATTAGGTACCCTGCCATAAAGGTATATCCCTGCACTTAATTAAGCATGATGTCTTCAAGACATATCCCATTGCTTAATAAGGTGACACAAAGTTATGCTAAGATTTATACTAAACATGGTCCATTTTTCTCATTCATCATATTTTAAATGCAGCTGTAATACAAAGCAATTTTATAACTTCAATGCATTAAGTTCAGATTAAGTTATCACTTCTATTGAAGGATGTCAATAAGCCAGACAATAAAACAGAGGTGAAGTATTTCAGAAAACAATACTATGTTCTGTCAAATGATCATTCACTTCTCTGACACATTTACATGACGTCTGTGTTCCCAAGAACTCCACATATCATAGACATTTCCGATATGTGCTGTGGTTTATATAAGAGATTAATAAAACAGGAATTAAAAAAAACTTGCAAGGCTTCAAAATGGTGCATGAAACTGGCAACATGTTTACACATAAAAAACCTTCCTCAAAGATTTACTACTTTTTTATTGCACTAATTTGTATCATCATTGTTTTAAAAGGAATAATACTTTTTGTATGTTAAGGGTTTAGTTCCTCATCAAAATTCTTAATAAGCATGATGGCTTGTAAGTTCTAAGTACTGGTAGCCAACAAGAGCGTGGCTTATTTCTGGACAGCTTTTGGTTACATGAAACCGACAGTGCCACAGTTCAGGTACTTAGGTGTCAGCTTCGCACTGAGGAGGACCAATTTCAATCCCACGTTATCCACATGGAATTTGTGGTCGAAAAAGTGACATTGGGGCAGGTATTCCCCTACCACTTATCACCATACAAATCTTCCCTACTTACTAGTATCTGAGCCCATCTTAAGTTGCATTATCAACGGACTAAGTCTTACTCCAGGCTGCCAGGCTACTGCAGCGCACTCATCTGATTTTCACGATTTGGACTCTGGGCTGATAACTGCTCTGGCTGTGGCAAGGTCTGCTGAGGCAGCTAGACAAACATTTTGGTGACTGCAGACTGACTGTAAGATGAGCATATGTTTTATATACTGGGTTTGGCCTGTTCTATATTGTTTTTAGGCCTTAGCCCCTGTGTTTACCACTTTCTAGACTTTCAATGACATCAAGACCGGTTGTCACTTCTGTTCACATATAAGGGCCAACTGCAGATCTCAATGCCTTATAATTTTGTATTGCATTAACTTGTTAATTACATGCCCACTGAGCCCTATTCCTACAGTATGAGTATGAGGGGTGGGCCATAAAAACCGGCACTTGAACTGCGACCTTCATTCCTACAGTAACACTGCCTTTGTTATTAAATTCCTTTTCTAAACCAGAAACAATTTTAAAGGGTAACAAAGGGTATAAGGGAGAATTTATTTGCTTTCCTGTTTTTGTCTAACTCAACCCTGAAAGATACCCCTCTCCTCTGACCACTACCTAGTCTCCCTACTTCCATCTAATAATTCTGAGACACAGCTTATGCTGCTCTAACTCATAATAATCTAAGACTCTTTGGCTGAAGTTCTGATATTCCTTCTAATGCATTTCCTCAAAACATTCAATCCAGCCCACTAAGAACCAACAACTGCAATACCTATGAATGGTCCAAGTATTGCAGCCATTTAATAAACTGCAACTCAAGCGTATGTATTTACACCTTATGAATAGTGCCTTCCAAAGTAACAAACCTATCTGAGATCTTTGCCTGTTACAAAAGTTCATCTTTATTTTGCTTCTAGCCTTACTAACAGTCTCTCCCAAACTTTTGGAAGTAGGATTCTTGTGATGTGGCAAAATGTACTATTGTAAGCCCATTATCATTTCTCATTTCAGTAAACTCTCGATCCCAGATAGTGGTTTAAAACAATTTTCTCTCCCTACTTCTGCACTGAAACCCCATAGAATATTTTCATGAGGTTTTAGGGAACTGACTGAATACAAAAGTCAATTTCCCAATAAAAGTTCTATTTCTATCACCAGTTTTATCCTCAGTTGAGGCATGCACATTATGTGTGACATCCTACATCTTAACCACTGATGAGAAACTCTTTTGTATGAATGTCTCTACAAGTGGCTTTAGGCTCCCACTTCCATATGATGAAGTATAATTGGCTGCTGGTTCAGTGTCACACCTGTCTCATCTCATCTCGTGTACTCTCATGACATCTGACTCAGTTGTCAGTGAACCTGCACCACAGAGACTCCTTACAGTCCATGTGCCAAGTCTCATGTATATTTTGGGCTGCTTAGTTCATTCCAAAGAATCTGTCCTGGTCCAACGGCCATGTAGCACTTCATAACAGGAAGTTTGCAGCTTCTGTCCAAGCTACATCACCCCAATGCCTACTGCTCAACACTGCACATGCAGCAACACTTGCAGCCACTTTCTGTATGTGGCGACTGCCTCCTCCATCAACAGTCTGAGTCATGGTGGGAAGGGATCCACAAAATTCTCTGCTCTTTGGTAGTGTCAGTAGAAATAAATCTACTTTCATTTTTGACAACTGAAACCATCAGTTATGGTTTCCAAGAAAGAATATATATAATAGTAGGTTCTCTTAATTAATTTAGTATCAAAAGATTCAATCGGTAGGGAATGTTGCAGTTTCTAAAATACCCCACTCTGTTTGACTACACTTCTGATTTTCTGTTGAAGGGTATATTTAGAATGGAAATATTGAACAATAAACTCGCTATATGTATCCCTAAACAATTCTTAATAATTTGTCAGATATTACAGTTTCAAAACTGCTTTACCTGCATGTTCATATACTGGAAATTATTTGCCTGTCAAAATAGCATTTGTATATTCTGAGAGAGACTTCATTCACAGTTGCAAAGTGTACAAATGTTTATGACTAGCAACAAAACATGAAACATAAGCACACTGACATCCTTACCCTCATCTGGTTCTTGAGTGATGCAAGGTCAGCACCTTCTTCTGGCACCGGGACATTGTAGAACTCCCCTTCTTCCTGAGTCAGCAGCTTGTACCAGCCTTCGACAGGTGCTTTGATTAGCTCCGAGATGCCAAATGACAGTGAGCCCATGAAGTCATTACGAGATGTGCGGTCCCAATCCCACACTTCAATCAACAATCGTCGGTCCTTATCTTCTGCTTTCAGTTCGCTAAAAGAAGTGAAGAACCACAAAAACGTTACTTTTATAAAATAATTTATCAAAATTTCAATGTGTATAGGAACTAGCTCATCATGTGGGCCCAAATGAGTAGGTTTCACCTGAAGATGGAGACAGAATCCAGTCTCTGAAACATTGCATTTTTTAAACAGAAACAGGACGGTGTTTTAGATAAAAACAGTGCGATGGATAATGGCCAGAAACATGATAGTGGGCTTGATGGAGTGGTTTAAACTTACCAAAGTGTAGAATTTTTCATAACTTTCATATCAAAGAGAAAAAACAATATTTCCCTTTGGAAGTGATATAAAAATGTAAGCTGATAGGTCTTGCTAGACATACCTAAAATTTGCAGGGCATATACGCTGGTATGCTATGAGCAGCAAGATAAATGTACACCCTATAATTGTGCTGCAAGCTGACTGCACAACCTACACAAATAAGAAGGGAGTAGAAACCGCTGGAAAGTTTTGGTTTATCTTTGTGTTTAAAGACAAGCAGAAGTACCCATTCCCAATGCAGGATCCAGTTACTCTTCTTGTCAATATCAGAACATATACTGGCTAAAACTTCAAACAAGCTCAAATACTCTAGTTACACATGGCTTTAACCACCATGGCTATGTGTATATTGGCAAGAGGATGAAGAAAATTTCATAATATCTTTGAGTGTTCTCTATGAGGTCCACTGTAGAAGCAAAAAAGTCAGGTTTTTATAAATACAGCACATTAATGATGTGTCAGCTGCAAGGATTCTAATGTGGGGGTAAACTTGGTGGAGCATGAAGCTGACTACTCATACGTATCCACTGCCGAGGTTAAGAGTGTATGGAATACTGCATTTGGTGAGAAGTGTGACTGTAAGAGACCTTGACTGAGTTGGGAGGCAGGCATTATCCAATGACCTGTCACTGGGAACCATGAGTGGTGTGTTTTGGTATGACACAGCCACCTCAGTTCTGAGTGTCTGAACATGACAAGAGCCAACACAAAAATGATATACTGAAAGGACCTGTCAGCAACATAGTGGACATGACGGTTACAAGTGTGGCTCACCATCAGTCCCTCTGGATCCGAAACAGGGCGCCTGTCCAAACGTAAGCGCACGTTATGAGAATGCTTTCATCGGCCTTGACGTTCCTGCACTACCAACAAAACCCTGTGAAACAGGGCACTAACATAAACCAAAACTAAATCCTCAGAATTATTGTTTCTTTTTTACTTCATCTATCGTCCAGTATTCTAAAAACTTGAAAAAAGAAATAACACTTCGGAAACCTGATCTGTTTCCGTCATCAATCCCTCCCCCTTCGCCTGAGGATGGAAACAAAGACAATTTCCGAAACGTTGCGTTCTCTAGTTTTTAGAATACTGGACGATGGACAAAGTTCAAAAACCCAGTAATTCTGTGTGTTATATACAAGAATATAAGTATATACTTATAAAGTAAAAGTAAAAAGTAAAGCTTTCCCTGTAACGGGCCGTGGAGGCCCATAGGGCTGTGAGACGTTGAGGGTCCTACATTTTCTGGACAATCAGCTCACAGATGGCAGTGAAGTTGTCAGCCTTAAGTGCCGGCCGCACTTTACCCACCAGGAAGAATCCTGGTGCTCATTTTTGTTATAGGCTGAGTATACCCCAGGGCCATAATGCGGCTGGAAGGATTAGGTCCATTGAAAAAAAGTCCACCTCATGTGGACTCGCACCCATGACCTTCTAGCTTGTAACATAGTGGCTCAACTAACTGCGCTACCGCGTGCCCATCGTCAAAACCCTTTAGAATCCACAGAACTAAACCAGCCTAACAAACTTAATTTCCACTATGAATATCAAATTTCATCGAAATTCGTGGAGTAGTTTAAGACGACCTTTCTGTTGTGTGTACACACACAACACAGGGCAATGTTTCTCAGCTAGCAGCTTCCTGCCCGCCTGCTAGCTCCTGCCTGCCTGCAAGTTCATTTTTCTGACCCTCAAAATACTGTTGGGTTTATTTTACACCCAGCTCCATCTGTAATTTGTCGTTTTGTGTTGGATACTAAATGACGTATTGAGCAGTGCTATTTTCGTTGGTAGCACTGCGCATGTCAGTTATGCCGTTCGGAATTTACAGTATTGCGGGGGGTGGGTTCTCTCCACCTAGTAAANTTGATTGTACGCACTGTATAATTGCAAACGTCCAATATAGGCGACTGTTGGACGGAAGGACGAACGGGCACATCACTGCTGTTCTGCCGCTCTGTGGATCAGACGAACAGGCTGCGAGACACCGGCACAGAATATACATCTCATTAAGACCTTTAAGCTTTATGGAACCATTTCTCGGTATCATTAATATTTAACGACGTACATATAAATTGGCCGCGTCACAGTTCAGGCGGTTAGATGCCAGCTTCTCTCGGGTTCAGGCCCTGGTAACTTTGTGTGAGACTTGTAAAAGGTAAAGTTGTTCTTTGCTTAACTATTTAAGCAGCAAGCCATAAAGATGAATGGGGGAGAGAATGTATAGGGTCACATTTTCATGACCTCGGAACTAGCTGGAGGTGAGTGGTCAGCTTCATGCCCCGGGGAAAGAGCACCCGGTACCAACTGGACACGAGGTTGGGTCTTGACGACGTGGATAAGAGAACATTCTTGACCCTACCGGGACTCAAACTCCGCCCCCTCGGTCGTCCAGCCCGTAGCCAGTCAAGTGTGACTCCTAGTGAGCGGAAACGGCACGCTGGAGCAGATTTCTCATGGTTAGGCCACTGCTCCACACGCACGTGTCACCGGCCTGGCACTCGGAGGAAGTGTACGTTTTACAGAGAACAAGATATTCAACTCGTGCAGCGCAGCGTGTGTCGGGATATCGGCTCCTATCTGGAACCAACAGTCATGAGAGTGGAAGCTTTTGCAGCGGTGAAGGTTCGTGTTGTCATCTCAGGATTCTGCCACCGTGTAGTCTGGTAGGCAGTAAATAACAGTTCTGTGTGTGCAATTACTGAGTACCAAGACCAATGAGGGAAGTTCTGATAAGTTCCCGGCCGTGACATAGCTCAGGCGGTTAATCGCCAATTTCTCAGTGCGGCGGACAGGATTTCAGGTCAGGTCAAGTGGGATTTGTGGTGGACAAAGTGGCACAGGCAGGTTTTTGTCCGAGTACTTCGGTTTCCCTTGCCAATTCTCATTCCACCGACTGCTCCACACTCATTATCATCCGTGGCTGGTACAATAGGCCAGTTAGTGGCCAACGTACCAAGTGGACTCAGCCTCACCCCACCACAAAAACAAAAAACGAAAAAGAAATGACTATGCAAAGTCACATATGAAGTGTTATACACGTAAGACGTGTGTACTCGACTGGTGTCGAAGTAAATCCGGAAGACCGAGTAACGGCGGCATATAATCATTACATCTGGTGTGGATGGGAAAGCTATTTAGTCTGTGATTTGTTATTTGCACTGTCAGCTAACAGATGTCAGCAATCTGCAGTGGGGCGTTTGTAAACGCAGAAACAGCTAAACAAACACAGAGAACACTTGGGAAGTGATAGTGGTTTGCTAAGCGTCTGTTGTGTGTGTGGGTGTGAAAAAGTTAATTTCATTAGAACGCAACACACGAGAGGGCAGTTGGTGACATGCTTCCGAGAAAGCTCAGGGCGGAGAAGAGAAATGGTGCCACGCCGTGTTCATCTTTAACGTTGGGTGCGCCATAGGTTTGTTGAGCACTTACCATTCATCCACAACATATTTCTTATTGTGTACATTGGTCCCTCGTATCTGGGGTTCACATGAAGCGTTTGGGGGCATTCGAACTGCAATTCAGTAACATGCTATATGGGGCGATTCGCACACTTGACAAAAGGCGAAGAATATTCAAAAAAACAAACCTACCTTCTCGTCAGAGAGGAAGTTACATAAGGACTGTGACAGTAAGGGTTCAGTTGATAAATATATTTTTTTTAATTAATGCATCCTGTTGTGTATCATATATTATTTCTTATTATTCTTATTATCTATATATTATTTCTTAGGCAGCTCTACAAGATACCTTTGCTACATGTTTCGGCCTTCCATAAGGCCATCATCAGGCAAACACATTAAAACTTTCGTTATTGAATTGCATGTAAAATATGAGTCACAGCGCTAAACTTCCAAGTATATACAATGGTAAAGACTTGTAATCTATGTAAGACTTGAGGCTTTCACGGCGGTGATTATGAAGAAAGCAGTCTTCTGGGATTTGGCACCGTGTATATTTGGTGTTAACCGACGTTTCGGAGGAACGTATCGCCTCCATCTTCAGGGTAGATGAAAAAATATAAGAAATCTGCAAGCGAAGAGACCGTGAGAACCGGTAAAAGCAGACGTTCCTCCGAAACGTCGGTTGACACCAAATACACACGGTGCCAAATCCCAGAAGACTACTTTCTTCAATTGTAATCTATCTCTCCATCAAATCAGACAATTACACAACCGAGTCGCCAGTCAAATAGTATCAAATATTAAGCAATAACATGCAACATAACAACGGGCCTCCGAACACCATATCAGCCATTTTGTATTTAATATGCCCTTATAAGTATTACATGCATTACGATTGCAACTACCAACTTCCAAGTACCATTGCATACAATTTTAAACTATACTTTTGACTATGTAACTCATCAATTGAGATATATACTTGTATTCACTCATATCATTTTATACTATTGTATATACCGTATTTACGCATGTATAGGCCGCAGCACAATTTTCAGACAGAAATTATAGAAAAAAATAATTTTCTTGGAATATTATTTCAGGAGTATTACACCCTGTATTACTAATTATGAATATATATTTTTTTTTAATGAAGTGTGATTTCGAATATTTCGAATATTTCGAATATAAGCCGCACCCCAGTTTTCCTCTTGAATTTTTGGCAAAAAATGTGCGGCCTATACATGCGTAAATACGGTATGTACTTGGAAGTTTAGCGCTGTGACTTATATTTAACATGCAATTCAAT